CCCATTTTAACTTGGACAGTAAAACATCTGAAAAACGAAGCCCAGCAAACAAAAATGATTCAGACAAAAGTTGTATGATTTCAAGGGGGACATAATATGGTACCATTGGTTTGACCTTGAATAGTTGCTTGAAGGTCACGCGAAGGTCACCTTCAATTTTTTTACTGGAACCCCTTATTGTTTATTATACTATCTTATTCTGCTAATTAATATGAACAACTTTTGTCCGAAACATTTTTGATTTGTCTATTATTCTTCTAGATATTCAAGACAAAATTTATAACTTTTTCAATGTTTAGCTCATGATATCTCGATGAGTCTGTGGCAGCAAATTCATAATGTCACATATGCCTCGGTAGTCGGTGGATTTTAACAGCGATGTCAATGTCTAAAATTTCTCGAGCAGCAACCTACGTTAGCGGATCTCGAAATCTCAATACACTTCAACTCGGAAGTTATCCTCGCGCGAGATAGTTTGCACGAGGATCCTGAAAGTCTCGTTAGAAACGGCGAATTAAAAGGCCGGGAGAATGTAAGACGCGGATTCCGTACGAAAAAGATTTCGCCCGGCCTACCTAATCGGAGAATAAGATCTCATTAAAACGCTTCGCCCCCGAGATTCGGCTCGGGATGAGAAATTGCGTGGGACGAACGAGGACGGGAGGGAGCGCACGTTCGGGCGAGAAGTGAAATGATAAATTAAACCGACCGCGGTAACGCTCGGCCGCAAAACAAGGCGGGTTAAGCTGCGGAATTATGAAAGTTCCAAGACTAATTGTGAAACTTTTCGCGACGTACAAAATTGCCGCAGACTCGCGCGGGACGATGGGAGACGGACGCGGGGTCAGTCCTCTCGTTGCCGCTCGAGGTGAAGTGCCGCGAGATGGGCGCCGACTTGACGAGATAAAGAGAGCTCCCGCTCCCCCCTCCCCCCCCCCCGGGCTACCCCTCGGCACTCGGGAAGAAATAAAGGGGACGGAATCACAGCTTCGACCTCTCGAGTTCTCCATTCGTCTGAATTTCGCGCGAAAGCAGGGAGCCGAATCGCGCGTTTGTCCGAAGTTACTGCCGAGTAAATTGCGCCCCAAAGTCAATTCGCCATGATTTGACTTGAGTTTATTACCACAAGCTGACGAAAGAGTGCATAAAGAGTGTCTAAAACGCGCGGGAGCTGAAGCGGGGATTTAAAAGCGCCAGAAACTTAAACGCCTAACAAGCTCCCGGTGCAAATATCTTGGAGCGCGAGATTCTAGTCCCGAAAGTAAGATCTGTAACGACGGTTGTAAGAGCGTGCGGTAAAGACACCGCATTTTTTTTTCTTTCGGGAGCGAGGAGGAGGTGGCCAAGTTATTTGTCTTCCACTCATCGCCTCCGATAAATAATCTCGAGTTGCAAATCGGTGCAGTCTGCCGCGTCACGCGGGCATAACTATCGCCGTCGCTTTCCCGAGGAAATCCCAAGCCGACGTCCTTTATTTACCGCGCATCACGACGGCGGCGGAGCGAGGGGGAGGATAATGTAATTCTTGACAATCTCTTTCAAGACGCGTCTCGTAAAAAGTCTTTTGCACGCGGTAATCTCGTTCGAGCTGTTTGCTCTCCAATACGTCGCTCCGTAGACAAAGAGAAAAAAAAAGGAGAGGAGAAAAGGATAAGACGCAGCGATTCGACGAGGAATAAAAGTAGCGGCCTGTCATCGGCCACGCTCTCCTCCCCCGCCTTCTCCCCGTCGTCGTTGCAGCCCCGCGCGGAAAAAAAAACGCCCCGGGCCGAATAACATTGATCCGGCGGCGGCGGCTCGTGTCAACGGAGTCGACGACCTTACGACCTTTGATTATTTAGTTCGAACGGTTTCCACGGGATGGTCCCCGAGGTAATTCGGGGCAACTCGCGACGGTGTCCCCCCTTCCCCTCCCCACAGGAGGGCGGACTTAAAGAATAAGTTACGCCGGAATACATCGTTGATAGCGCGTTATTATACTTTTATCGTGGCCGAACGTAGCTGTCCCGCGAGAAGAAATTTCTCGAAGATTAATAGATCATAACCGGAGCCCTCCCCCCCTTTCCGGACGAAGAACGTTTGAACGAAGTTTTATCGCAGTGCGCAAAATGCAGATTGCTATCATTTCTACGATTCTTATACAATATTATCGTACGCGGAGTCGTTGACAAAAGCGAGCCCTCGGTCCAATGATTTCTGGCGAGAAGCGCCCTCCTCTTTTTCTCTTAAGGGGGTGCAGGAATGATTCTGCACTTTTCGCGTTTGAAACTGTCAACTCACGAAAACATTTGTATAATATACAAATTGTGTGGCTTTTGCGTACGGACCGACAGTGTTCCACTATTCAGATTAAGTGAAAGAACAGCATGGTATCATTGAAATTAAGTTTAGGAGCCTAACAAGAAGTCTATTCGAAGGAATAAGTTATAGGTTAGGTAACCTATAACTTATTCGAGTGAATAGACTTCTTGTCGGTTCGTACACAAATTACAAGGCTCACGCGTACAGCTCTAAAGTGTTCCACTAATCGGACTAAATCAGAGAACAACATGGTGTCATTGGAATTGAGTTTAGAAGCCTAACAAAAAATCTATTCACTCGAATAAGTTGTAGGTTACATTCGAGCGAACAGATTTTTTGTTAGGCTTCTAAACTTAATTTCAATGATACCATGCTGTTCTTTCACTTAATCTGAATAGTGGGACACTGTCGGTCTGTACACAAAAGCCACATAATTTGTATATTAGACAAATGTTTTCACGAATTGACAGTTCTAGGCGCAAAAGGTGTGAAAAGTGCAGAATCACTCCAGCATCCCCTTAAACTCGACGATTCTCCGTGCATCCTTGCTTTGACGGATACGCGGCAACGACCGTCACTCGGCAGGTTCGCCGCAAAGCTCGCGTAATATTGCTACCCCGTCGTGCACTATGAAACGCTCGTTCCCCGGCGCGAGGGCCCGCGCGCGGCTTAGCCGCGTAAATCGGATTAATTATTTCCCGGCGTGGCCGGTTGCGGCCCAAGGCACGGCCTTTTCTTATCGCCGGGTTTAACGTAAGCACTTGGAGCCCGCACGCGGGCGGTGCGGGCGGCCGCTCTACGTGTGGGATGTGTTTGCCTTCGGGGTCTTCGTCAAGATCGATGGCGTCGTGCCACGGCGCGGCGCCGATGCGACTATCCGTGTAAGTGTGGCCGCCATGCCATCCCGCCGCGCGGTAGCGCAAACATTGCACGTCGAAATTACACACCGCGCGACATCGCAAACACGGGACGCGGACGCGAAGACGACGCGGAGGCGAGGCGGAGGCGAGACGTACGAGGGTGCGCCTAACGAGGCCCGTCGTCGCGTTTACCATAACCCGCTAAGGATAATAAGGATTTTGATTGAGCAGGTTGTTTGCCGCGTCCCCATTGATTAAAGACGATCTTGCGATACGCTTCTCACGGTGCGGGCAGGCACGCATGCTTCTTTGAGCTCGCCCAGCTCGTTAGAATCTAAACTCTTTCTGAAAACTCTGATTAAAGCCGAATAGAAACGGCGCTGAAAATATTTCGCCGTCGATGAATGCTATTTTCAGCGCTTCTGTATTTTTTTACTCGACGCCGACAGTTTGTCCCGTCGAGATTGAAATTCGCGTATTCATGCGTTTAGATACTTCGCCGACGGATATATCCGAATAATATCCGAATGCTAAAAAGGGATCTATTTCTGCGATTTTCCCCGGAACGGGAACAATTTCGCGAGAATGCGACTGCCGCGCGAGCGCGCGCGCGCGCGCACGAGCGTGCTTCGATTTCCGCCTGGCGCACGATAAAGTGCAACAGGATGCATTAACGCGAACGAATTCTGACGCGTTGGCTCGCTGACGCAGTGCGATATTAGTCAGCCACGCTCAATCGCAATAACGCCAACCACCCCCTTTCCCACCCCTTTCTATCAGGATCTACACCGATGGACGGCCGAACCTGGTCGTAAATGCGGATACGTCGATAACGGATTGCCGGCCACCGCCGCCGCCACCACCACCCTGTTATGCTCGCGGCCATCGAAGAAGCTCTGAATTACGAAAGCGCGTAAGCGTCCGGCGCATACCGAACGCGCCTTCCGGTCCGACGCGACTGCAAAGCCGCGACGGATGCATTACGGATGCATGCGCGCGCCAGCCTGGCCGCGCTCGTCGAGATCAAAGGGCGAAATAGCGAAACCCGGCTCGGCGGAGTTAATGCATTCTGGCGCGCGAAAACTGGACGAAGAAAGGAAATAATGCAGATGCGGATGAGAGGCCGGGAGATGCGGTCTCCGCCAAACCGTGGAAATTGAGTTTCCACGGCCGTGCCGAGGACCTTCCCCGCGTCTCGTCCCGACGCGGCCTATCTCGCGGCATGCCGCGCGCTGCAACAGCGGAGACAATGAAATTTCCTCGATTGTGTCTGCTGATTTTGCAAACTCGTACTTTCCGCGCGGGGATTTAAATATCATATCGCGATAATTCCCCCCTCTGTCACGCATTACCAAAAGCTAGTTTGTGAAACGCGCCGCCAAATCTGTCTCCAGCTTTTCGTCACAGGTTTCGCAGTCCCGCGATTATTAATATGAAACCTTTCCTAGTACTAAATCGCCATCTTTTTAATGTCGCGAAACTCCCGCTTAACGAGATGAGTGACGATGTCTACGGGCCAGCTTCACAAACGTTAACTGCTAACCGAAGGTTAATCGAGTCTCTGTCTCTTCTTGGACAATAAGACGGAAAAAGATAGGGAGTTGACCGAACTCTGGTTAACAGTTAACCGACGTTTGTGAAACTGGCCCTATGTCTAAGGCCCGGTTTCGCCAACGTCGCTTAACTTTGAGCTTAGCTCAACTCGTTCTTTGTCCCTCCAGCTGTTACTTTGGAGACAAACATGAATTAAGCCGAGCTTAAAGTTGAACAACGTTGGGCCTAAACCTACTTAAATCCAACTTGGACCGTCGGATCGTACAAATGTTCTGTTCTACTCACACATGTGATACAAGACCAGATTCTTGAGGCTCCCATTGTACTTCTGGAACGCCCGATTGGTAGGCGCGAACACGGTCACGTGGCGATACGTGAGGGTGGTGTTGGCCACTTGACTCGCTTCCAGCAGCTGGTAGAACTGAAACAGAAAAGCGGAATATGGTTTCACAGTCCGTCCGATCTCTCTGCTAATCGGTGCCACCAATTAACGGGCGCGCGGTATACGGCAAAAAAAAACTGGGGGAAACGCTCGCGGCATTATACCCTGTGTGCGCGCGCCCTTGACAAAATCAAACAATCGCTCGCCCCGCTCAAAAGGGCCGGCTTGTAGGAGGTCGTTAAATTAATCATCGTCCCCGCATGATAAAGCAGGAAACGAGCCCGGAACGAGCGATCGATTCCGCTCTTCTGACGTCGGGGCTCTTACGCGAGCCCTTCTTCCGCGCGCACAGCGGAGAGAAAAAATCCATACCCAACGGGAAACATGCCCCGAGCAATTCGCGTCAACGGGGATTAAAGTCGTAGTTCACATCGAGTTGCAAGCTCGGGTTCGACGAGCACGCGCGCTAAAGCATTTAATCCGACGTGTCGGTTGAAATTTTCCGAGGACTTTCATCTCCCGCGGCGGTCGCGGCACAAAGGAACCTCGTTAGTTATCAATGCTTAATTAGCCGGATGTAAAGTCCGATCTACCGGCGGGGTATTACGAGTCACCCTCCCCCGCCGGTTTCGCCGGCTCCTCCTCTTTCCGTCGAGCATCGGCGTCGCCCGGGAATTAGGGGTAAAAAAAGCGTGTCGCGGGAAACCGAAAACCTACCGGGCTGTTTGCGACGTTGAACATTTGCGCGGCGCTTTCGCGTTTTTAGAATCTTGTTTTTCAAACTAATCAGAATTCTTCAATGTCGCCAGCGGTAATTAACGTCGGTGTTTTCTTTACCATACCTGGCATCTTTAATAATACAGAAAATTTATTGTGAAAAATATTACCTCAACCAAGGTTTGAACCTGGACCTTCCTACACTCTAGGCGGGCGTCTCACCAATTGGACCACCGAGGCGTATGATAATATTTGTCGCAATAACAGTATAAAGATGTTGTCTACGCGTATATTTTCGACTTTTGCAAACTGCGCGCCGATAAAGGCCATTCTACAATTGCGTAAACGTGGTTGTTATCGGTTGTATAGTATTGTAAAACACAGTTTTAAACTAGCATTTCCGATTGTAAAGCCTGTTGTAAGAGATGGCTGAACTTGATCTTTCACGACTACAACGATGTAGGACGTGAAAGCTAGCCAATCATTCACTTCAATTACGACGTATCTCACTCTATTGTATATTACTTTGATGTACAACACTTACTACTACTTCTACCCCTACAACCCTACAACTACGTTTACGCAATTGTAGAGTGGCCTTAAGGGTTGTCGGCCGTACGCAGAACTACCGAATAGGCGATTTTTCAGTTCTCCTGACCTTGTTTTTCAAAGTTTGCAATAAATGACTTTGTAATTACAACACAGCCACCCTTTTTGATTTGATATAATTATTACAGTGTAACGATGATTTATATTGTGCTCTAACAATATTGTAACGAGAACAAAACATTTTAATGTTTATTAAAATGTTTTGTTCTCGTTACAATATCGTTACGGTATAATAATTATTTGAATATTTAACACGCGCGCACGGGCAACATTTAAACATTTAACGATTTAATTCAGCGCCCGCGATATTTCGCGGTATTTATCCGAACGCGGGCGATTCGCCCCGGGAAAACGCGGAGAAACGAACTCGCTCGCGTTAGACGCGGAAAGTATGCCGGTATGATAAAAGCTGCGCCACCGCTGGCTTTGTCAATTTTATGACGCGTGTGGTATTCGAACAAGTTTTACCGCACAAAAGCGTCGCCGAGGCTTCCGATTCTCGTAAAACTCGGCGCGAGTATCGTAAAAACGCGATTATTTCGTCCCATTGCTCGAAACTCCCGCCGCTGCCGGGGAGAACTATGTCGGCACTCGGCTATAATAAACTGCTAAAGTTTCGTACGCGGGAGGCGTACCCCGCCGGTAATTTTTCCGCCGCGCGTACACCCCCGGCTCTAATACGCGCTCAATCTTTCAAGTCTTTCGAAAGACTTCGCCGGAGTTAATAGAGTAATTTCGCATTTTTATATTTCCCCGTTTCTGCGATCCACATTCAAATCGACCGGCATTTGATATTAAACGCGCTTGTTTTATTTAATGCCGAGCTCGCCCGCAATATCCTTTTTACAACTCGGGGAACAAAACTACTAATGCCCGTTTGGTCTTGACGAACAAGTAAGTGTCTTTTTTACCCAATGCCACTCTCTCGTTGATAAATTACGCAAGAGTTCGGAGCGCCGAGCTATACTCAGGGAAAAAAAGACAGTTAGCAACCCATTTTGGGGCCCACAATTAGCAATCGAATTATTTCGATTGTTCGTAACACTCTACTCTGGGAAAAATTTTGACCGTATCTTTTTTGTAGTTAAACAACTTAACATTTCGGTTAGTGCCTCTTAAGTGACAATGATCTTTGCGTTACTGAATATCGACGGAACTAATTGAGAGAATTGATTAGTATTACTTAAAAATCTCAGATATAGATAGAACAGCGATAATTGCGACTTTTAGTTACGCGGGGTAAAATTCGTAAAAGATTAGAGAATCGAAATAATTCGCTTACTAAGTGTGGGCCCCAAAATCGGTTGGTAACTGTCTTTTTCTTCCCAGGGTATGTAACGTCGGTCGTGAATCGGCTGCTAGATTTACGAAATGAAATTATTGAAGGCGTAAGTTTCCGCAAGGCCGTGGACGGCATTGTCGGAGGCGGGAAACTTTGTTACTACGGTCATATATGCTAATTAGTACACGGTGGGATAATTGGTAGGGAGATTCGGAGCAGGGTCTATTAGTTGCATCGGTCGGTCGGCGGTGCCGGCAGGAAATTTCTGATTAATTAGTGGAAGCTGTACGCGAGGGTGCGGTCCATTTAGCCTCTATATTCCGTGACGATCGACGTCGGCCGCGCGCGCGCGCGCGCGCAATTATAAATTAAGATCTCGAAAATGATTTCGCCCTCGGACTGTCGTTTACATTCGAGGGAGAGAGATATAACGAACGGATGAAATTCGCGAAGACGATAAGCAGGAAACCTTTCTTGTTTCATCCCGTGGACGATGGAGGGGGGCCAGTTCAATTCTCGTTAAGGATAACGGCGACGCGAGCCCAATTTGTGAAAAATAATGGTGAAACATGGTTGCGACCTCCTTTCTCCCCTTCTCGCCCCTTATCCTCGCGGCGCGCTCTCTTATCCCCTTTGCCTCCCTTTAACGAAGCTCTTGAGTAATGGAGACATGTCGTGACTCTCGGCAATTAATGCGAGTTGGTTCGTCGAGGCGAGCCCGGTAGACGGACGGGATTGGTCGGAGGTAGCAGACAAAAGGAGAAAGGGACAGGCGAAAACAGCCCTGCGGATAGAAAAAGGTTTCCAGCACGGTAATCGAGACATCGTGTTTCGCGTGCCGATTGTCTCGGTGGAGAAATTTTATCCAGTCGAGTATAACACCGAGCATTATAGTAACTTCGGAATTCGAGTTGCATAAACAAAAATTTCAGTTATTAAATAAAGTGCAGGTTATTAAAATCGTTAATTTTGCCACTCGGCTCCCTAGAACCGCTACACTTTCGTCCAGTCTGCTTTCTTAAACGCTTTGACAAGAGTCTTGATTCCTGAACGAGAACAGTCCTCCGTGACGGACCTCGACGGTCGAAATGAACTGCTCCAAACATTTCCATATGGATTCGCGCCGGGGCGTATTTATCAATTTTGCTGACGAGACTTTTAGTTCGCAGAAGCGGCGTTTAACGAGCACACGGCAGGATATTATGTATTATTAATGCGGGCAAATATTTCGCATTTGTAAACGTTCCGTTTTCGCAATTTCTGCTCGGCGAATAAAAACAATCGCGCGACGTCGCGGCGCGTTGATGGGTTAAACAGGAGATAAACGGATTCTATGAAGTGCGACCGCGTCGGGTCGGGAACCCAGAGCATCGGGACGAGTCGACTGTGGAAATTAAATTAAATCGCGCACCAAGATATATATTTTCTATTTTCTCTCCTCTCTCGCGCGCTCTCTCTCTCTCTCTTTGCTCCCTGGCGCCGTTTTATCGCATTACGTGCTTTCGAAATATCGCGCGCGATCAGAAGATAAATTTGCAGCGACGTTTGCCGTCCCGTAACAAACGCGATTTTGTTCTCGCGCTCTATTTTCCGAGGCTTGACATTTAGCGCGGTATCCGAGAACAGATCCCGAAGAATCTGCATGGATCGGCGCCGATTTTCCAAATTCCAGGCGATTCGCGCAAATCCAGCTTTCGGCGGGGATTTATTGCCCCCGCGCTAAAATTACGCGTATAATAAATAAGCGAGACACGAATCTTAATGTTACGTTCCACATCTTAATTCATGTCTACGTTTCAACCCGCGAGGCATTTTATCTCACGACATACATCAGCGGCGGCGTTATGTTGCCGGTTATATTCGCTTAAGTCGCGCTCGCTATTTTTGCTACGGCAAAATGTTTAATGAACGCTCCGTGTATCTCGCTTGTATTTTAGTTATTACGCCGCGCTTATCACCGCGCGCGCCGATGTAACGTAGCGAAAAGAATATAATTACTTTAATTCCCATACATCGGCGTTACAGCGCGTAACAAAAAGCATTACTCGGCGATTCGATAAATCAATTTACCAGGACCGCTGAAATTGGCGATTGCATTTCAGTTATTCACGCGATTCTCGGGCGCCGTAATATTTTTACGAGTCCACGCAATCTGGCACATCCATTCTTCACGCTTCGTCATCTCTTTACGATTCCCACTCGATCGTTTTAAGCACAGTCCCCCGCGGCCCGCCACACGTTGTCTGTCGGCGTCTTCGTCGCGCGTGAAATAGAGCCCGTGCTCGCGCGTACCAGTAATTATATTTAACTATAATCAACGTAGGAAGAGGAGAGCGGGGGGAGAGGAGCGGAAGAAATACGAGCGGTTTCGCGTTTTTACGAGCGAGGTTTAATACGAGACAACCGGGGATCGAGTTGCGCTCGCCGTAAG